GCCGTCTCTGGTCATTAGGATGTGAAACGCAGTTCTGAGGTCAGCTGCTGGCTCAGCGCTGAGCAGCTTTCAGCGATTACGTACGAGCGTAAGCCTGGCGCACCTGGATCAAACGCGGAGAAGTTTACACAGTCACCATCCGCTCTCCGCTCCGCCGTGAGGGTACTCTCGCGCCCGCACAGAGCGCGGGCTCTGGGGGTTTCCTGCAATCTTCCTATCCCCTTGGCAACTAGGTTTTATTTTTACTTATTTTTATTTATTTTTCTATTTATTCCCAGGACTGAAAGCTCTGCCACATGCTTCTCTGTGCTCTGAGTAACCCCAAACACAGAAGAGCCAGGAATAACTCCTTTGCTGCGCTGTCAGTGCTTGATACAGTCACTTCCTTCATCTAGCGGGTGAAGCAATCAAAGGCGACAGAAAGCGGCGAGCCAGGCAGCTGGCAGCCGAGGGAGAAGCAACACCTGAAAGTCTATCACAGCGCAGGGAACCTCCAGCAGTCAAGGCGCATTTCAGAAAGCACGCTGTGCTCTGCCCAGAGCCATCGGTGGTCCCCGCCGTCTCCGGCGGAGCTGGCTCTCCCTGCCCACGCGCTGCCGGGTGTCCCGTCCAGGGCTCCCATGCTGCTTCAGCTGCAAGAAATGGCATTAAGCATTGGCCCAACCTTTTCAGCGCTCAGATCCAGGAAAAAACTTCAGTACTCTGAAATAGGCAGGACATCAGCACCTTATCCAACCCTTGCCCTAAAAGCTGTAGACACCCGTGCCTATTAAGCGTTCAAAATTAGCTATTGCCCATGCCCGGAGCTGTCACTATCCCAGAAAGCATCTCCCACGCAAGCTTGTTTGTGCTTTTTTTATCATTCTGGATATTGATAGATAACAGAAAACCTGGTGTCTGTAATCTCCGCAGCATGAAAGAGGCTGGGTTCACACTTCCACTTTTTGATGAGACTACCTGACTCACCACACTGTAGACCAGGTTGAATCTGTTCCACTTTGCAGCAAGCAGTGGCTGAGGCTTGGGTCTCCTCAGAGTCACTTCTGGCCCTTTTTACTGGAAGAGTCACCAGAAGTAAATGCAGGACCAGTTGCAGGACTTTTCTCTCGGGTGAGCACCTAAAACTGGACAGGCACACATCCCGGCCGAATGGATTTGTATGCTTTGCTGAACATCAGCCCAAGTGCCCTGTAATGGGGAAAAAGAAAAGTCCCTCTGACCTGCCAGGAGGCAGAAGCGGGAGGTTGAAGTCCTCTGTGAAGACTTGCTGGAGAAAAGCAGGGTTAGGAGCACCATCACCATGCCTTGTTTGAAAAAAGGCTGTGAAGAACAGCTGTTCTGCTGTGAAGAACAGCTTCAGCACTTCTCCCTGGGAGGTTCAAAGATGTAAACTGCCATCACACATAGGCCCCTGCCTCCAGGTTGCGGGATACCCGTGTGTCTGAGCTGGAGAGGGTTTCAGCACAGCCCACCTCTCTCCTTAGCATCCTGGCTGCAGACCAGACAACCGGGTTGGAAAAAGCAGGCTCCTGCTGCCCCCTCACTCCAGCTGGGTAGTCATGCACTGGAGCGAAGGGAAGAACCTATCCCTATCGGATGGGGATAACGATAAGTTACCACAAGAAAAACAGTGTTTTTCTTACAGATCAGTTCCCAAGCGCTTGTGAGACTGTCTGTAAAACACAGAACTACTACCATTACCTTGAATAAGCACTAAATGCAATTCTTACTTACTGAACAACTCCAGTGTGCGGTTAACTCATTCCACAAAAACTGCACCTGAATGAAAGCTTAGAGGAAGCAGGCTTTACATGAGGAATGACACAGAACAGGGCAGCTATTTGTCAGGCAAGAGCTATGCTGAGTGAAGTTTTAACTGTGTTCTAATTGTGGAAGTATCCTGCTCTGCAGAAGAGTTTCCTTTTTAAGTGTTCAAAAGACTTCAGCCTTCCGCTTTTGCCTCCCAGAAGACTATGGGAGGCCAGATAGGCATTTTCCCCATTCTGCTGCCCTTAAGCAGATGTTCAGCAGAGAACATCAAGCATGGTGGCTCTCCTTTTTTTTAAAGGAGTTTAAAAACACTGGAATCAAGCCACGAGTAAGGCAAGTTACTCTTTCTATGCATTCCCTTTGAATACCTCTCCTAACCCCCATGCCATTTGAAGCCTTTATTTAGCTTCTGTAATACAGACAAGCCTTTGGGAACTAGTCTTTCCTGGAAAATGAAGTCAATGCATCAAGTCAGCTGTTAACTTTGCAAAGGTGCTGTTTCAGATAAGTAGTTGTGAAATAGTTCACGCAAGCCCTTAACCACTACGTTTTATAGAAAAAATTTTTAAGGTATTTAGAGCAGTCTTAGCTCATAGTATCTAGGTTAACTAGTATATGGAAGCAAGATTACTTTTTATTAGCTTGAAGTATCATATTTTATTCAAGTGATAAGAAATATCATAATACATTATGCATCTGCCAGTTATAGTCCATTTTAGTTGGTTCCAAAACCTAAGCAGTAAATGAGTAAGTTTATCTAGTTATACTGAAAAAACAGCGTTCCACACAACAGTACTGGAGATGTCAACCGTATAGTAATTCCAGCATTATGTTGTTATGGCTTTCCAGAAAGTCATGCAGTTAACAAATTAGAACACATCAGGAGCCATTTTCCAAAGATTTATTGAAGTAGCGACAGGTTGCTCATACTGTGCTGGAAAAAGCAGTTTTATTGAATTCAGATACTTAAAAACAGTATTGCAGCACAAGATATTGCTATGTGTAAACTAGACTCCATTGTAAACTAATCCTTCAGGGAGAGTCAGTTTGCAAGATCTAAGACCTATTTCCTAGCATAATAATCTTGCGCTCATGGAAAAACTGCAGAAAGGCACTTGAAAGCTGTTTCTTCCTTTAAGTCATGGACTTTTTAAACCTTGCTGGTAAGAATTTCTCCTGCATTAATAAGTACGCAACTTCACTTCAGCTTTACTCCAAGTCATCATGATGCTGGGACGTTTCATTAATAACCTGTTGAAAAACAGAGACACTTGCATTAAGTTTTAGTAGTAAGACTGTTGGGTTTTTAGAGCTAGAACTGGAACATCTAGTACCACAGAATTATGAACAAATGGGTATCAAGTCTCACTTATAAATGAGAAATTCTAGTTGGTAACTAGTGTGCAGAAACCATTTAAGCTTTACTGACTTAGTCTGAAAACAGTATCTTGTCCCAAAACAAGTACCTCTGTTTACAGCCACATGTTTGCCTCAACTGATGTGAGAAATCTTTTAGGAACTTGCTAACTCAGCTGAACTTAAATACTCACTACACAGGTAACTGTCAGCCACTTAAGGTTTTGCTGTCAGATGAATTTTGTGATCATTTCCACAGAAGCCTGTTTGCTACATCTGTATGTTCAGCCGTGCAGCTTGACAGATGCTGTTCTACTCAATACTTACTACCATATACAGGCTGCACTGACCGCTAGACAAACAGAATATTTTAAGGTAACCAGCTGTGAAAGAAACAAAATCAAAGTTACCACCAACCTGTCCATCTCTAGTTTCGACGGTCTTAATTAGAAGTGTCCTCTTTGAGTGAGTGTCAACCATTGGCTGAGACTCAATGTTGGTTTCTGCAGAAGAAAATGCGTTATTAACCAACAGGCTAGATTAAGTGCCTCCTCAAAGAAATGAGGTGTAACAGATTTTAGTGTCTACTTTCAGAATCCCGATTTAGTATATAAAGAAGTCTCCTGCTCTGAATGATAAGCTAATCTTCTCCATTTTCTCCCTGTTCCCCTTAAAGTACCTTCAGCAGGCATCTAAACCAATCACTCACTACACACCGCGATTTAAAAATATCCATGCCCAGGAACAAAGTAGCTCCTCCCATCCAAGATTAAATAGTAATTGCAAATATTTTAGATATACCAAAGGAAAAAAAAAATTCACACGCGACTGCATTTGTACAAGTTCAAATACGAGAGTAAAAGGAACTATCCGGGCGCCTTTTGCCAATTATAGAACAGCTGTCTAAACTGAAGTAGCAGAAACAGCGTACCTCTCAGGTTCAGAGAAGCAAAGGTTGGAATAGGCATATTAATCCTAAAGAAAAAAAAAATGGATAAAGTCAGACATGGGTATAGAATGTCTTCTAGTAATTCCTGTTTAGAAAAGTGTCTGCATGTGATTTTTACCTGCTTTCTTCACCCTCCAGCAGTTTTCTGTAGGTGGCAATCTCAATATCAAGAGCCATCTTTACATTCAGCAGGTCCTGGTACTCACGGAGATGGCGAGCCATTTCTTCCTTCATGTTCTGAATCTCATCCTGCAGACGGCCAATAGTGTCTTGGTAGTTAGCAGCTTCAACAGCAAAATTCTCCTCCATTTCACGCATTTGGCGCTCCAGGGATTCATTCTGGGAGAGAATAATGAAGTCAAGCACTGCTGCAGTGCAGCCATTCCTCCCCACCCCTCAAGACCCTTACAATTTTTTAAAAATGGAAGTTGAGTTACGCTAGAATTCTTTCTGAAAATGCCCAGGCATGTCGCAAATTTGTCATCTCCTTATCTTCCTCTTGCAAAGTCAAGGTGGGTTATTCTGCTACTTCATCTGATGTGCGCCACATATTCACTCTACCAAGTGGGAAAGCAATCCCTTACAGTAAGCCCACCATATGCAGTACAAGACTGCATGCAGGCAGTCCTCAGTGAGGGGATTTGCAGCTGTACTATACACTGTTAAATCCATTTCAAGCCAGCCTTTAAGGCAGTCACGTTCTAGCAACAGCAAGATTTGCACCTACTTTCCATTGCTCCTCCAGCTTTTTTTATAGCTTCACCTGTACCTGACAGACAAGCCATAAGCACTTCCAGAAAGTGTTACATAAACAGTGAATACTATAGCAAGAGAATGAACTCATTGCTTATACCTTATTTAAGACCAGTTCAGCATATCAGTCTAACCAGTGCACTGTCGTGCATGCAGGCAAATTCAGCTCATAGCATCCTCTTCAAAGAAAAGTACTAATGTGCTGCTGTACCACATGGGAGATCTGCACTCACATCTATATCCACAATTAAACTGCAGTGCAGTGCTTAAAGCTGCAAAAGGAAGAATGCCTCAACAACTACTGTCTGCTACTTACGCTTCCCTTAAGGGCATCAACTTCGCAGGTGAGAGACTGAATCTGTCTGCGGTATTCGTTAGCTTCTTGTTTGGCCTGGCGCAGGGCATCGTTGTTCCTATTAGCAGCTTCGGAGAGATCTGCAAACTGTGGACATTCCCAATTTGGTTAGTGTAAACACTTCAACAGAAATGGTATAACAGAGGTTTTTTTGGACACAGCATTTGAGGGCAGCTGAAGCCATTGCAAGCCTTAACACCTGAAACAAATATTAGCATTGCTCTTAAAATGCCTTTCTATTTCTAATTGTTAAATTGGAATTCATAGTTAAACCTTTCATATTTGTTTCCCCATCCTGTATGTTTCCCATCTTTTAATAATTTTTTTACCCATTTATTCCCTCCTTTCTCCAGTATTTCATCCAACATCTCCTTCCAGGCACAAGCATAGGAAAGACTCCAAGTATGAACCCATCACTTGAATGCTGTACTTATGGCACAAAATAATGTTTTTGGCTGTACCCTTCCCAGAGAGGAAGTTTAAAGAAGACCTTGTGCCATGACTCTGTTCATGTCCAGTAGACAGGCAGAGGGAACACACAGTGCCACAGCAGAGCTGTTATGTAGTTAGTTTGAGTGCCTGATGCATCTGAACAGATGTTACTTACTTTGGACTTGTACCACTCTTCAGCTTCCTGAAGATTCTTAGCAGCAACGCTTTCATACTGTTGGCGAACGTCACGCAGGGCAGCAGTAAGATCAGGCTTAGATACATCCATATCAATCTGGATGTGCTGTTCCTGGAGTTGGGCCTGCAGTTCTCGGATTTCCTTAAGAGAGGAGCAGACAGTGTTATTACGTGACAACATACACAGGTGGGGACTCTAGGCCAGGATCAGTGAAGAGCTTACTTGCTCGCTAGACTGCCAGCATCTAATCACAAACCTCATTTTTCAGCTTACCTCATCATGAAGCTTCTTCAAGAAGACAATCTCCTCTTGCAGGGACTCAACTTTGCGCTCAAGATCAAGACGTGCCAGAGAAGCATTGTCAACATCCTGACCAGAGAGAAGAAAGATTAACTATCTTACAAAGCTAATGTAGAGAAGTCTTCTGAACAGCAAGTTCAGAAGTATACAGACTGATGCTACATCTGAGCTTTTTGGCAAGACTGTATGAAATCAAGAGCTGTGAAAAACCTTTTTTCCACTTCCTACCCTAACCTCAGAGATGACTCTATGTACCTTTGTTGTAATTTTGGGAACTATACAGCGTATGTAGATTACTTTATCTTTGCCAACGTATTGCAGAGCATGACCAAGAGCACAAAGATCATGGTGGGCATAAATCCTGCCTGAAGATGAAGCAGGTACTTGGGTCAGAAGCCAGCAATAAGCTCTTTTAGCTTGACCACACCAAAAAAGTTAGTCTTGCAATTCACAAAACTTCAATTTTTATTCCAATGGGGCTTAAAAGTGCAACCCATGTGCCCACATGCCTATCACCAGGCTTAGTATCTTGTTTATTTCTTATGGACTCCTTGGTGATCAACCACAGAGTCCTTCGGGTCCACAGACCACAGCTTGAAAGCATACTTGTAAAGCTAGTGAGGTACGTATAGGAACATTAAGCATTTACTTCTCCAAGCGGTTCAACAGATCTCCCTTGAGAAAAAGAAGGTATGAGCATAAACACAAACCGAGTTAGTCATCATTGCCTACACCCTGACAGTAGCTGGCAAAGACTCCACCTTTTGCTGGACGGAGATAGTCTTAATCAACAGCAAAAATTCATTTAAGGCATAACAGATGATATGCCATGAATGTTACATGGGAGCAGCTTGACTTAGTTCAAAAACATAACTTAAGGCTAAACATTGATTGGTAACTTCTTACATTTTGAATATGCCAGACAATTAATTTGCAAAGGGGGCAATCGTTCTTTTCATACTAGTTACATACACAGCTGCATGCTTATGTTCACGTGGTATCAACGTATCAGGTTTTCACAGCTTATTCTAAAGCTATTTTGGATTGCCCAAAGCGTAAGCATTCCTAATCAGCAGTTCTCACTACTATGGCACCTTTGAAATAAGGAGTGTTTTCTTTAGACTCCTAGAAAGCCATTCTTTGGATCACTCCTACTCTGGGGTAGTGTTTTTGCTCCAGAAGAATTCTTCTGTTTTCTTTATCCAGCAGAACACCCCTTTGATGTGTTATTCCATTAACTTCCCTACCAATTTCAGTTTTACACACACACTGTTCAGATGTTGGTTCTGTTTTTCAATTCAGAGAAAGGATTACTTAATTCATTTGCTCTCCTCCCCCCAAAAAACCATGACGATCATTCTGGAAGGAAATTGCATGCCTATGACCCAACATGTTTACACAATTAGCCAGACATCTGAAGAGTTTCCAGTGAATTTTACAGAAATGTTCAATCTGAAGACTATCAATTTTTTCAGGACAACTGAAGAGCTACAGGATTTTTAGGAGATTATAATTAATTGAAAGCATCTTAAATTGAAGACACTTATGTGTCTAGGTATGCTATATATTTTACTATATATGTTACCATTAAGTTAGGGAGTGAAGAATCAGTGTAACTGTATTTCCTAGATGTGTGAACAATCACATGAGCTACTTGTAGCCTGAGCAAATGGAACGTAAGGCATACATACATGCAACTGGACTACGTATAGATTTTATCCTAGGAGATTCTTTAATGCCAGTCACGTAGTTTGCAGGGTCAAGCATCCATGTTTACTTCAGACAAACCTCATGTTAGCCAGGAGCAGACCTGTTAGTCTTGTCACAGGTTCAGGACCTATTCCTTGTTGCCAGCGTAGCTGGCAAGCTGCAGTAAATAACTTTCTCACTAATTATGATGCTTGTTTTGTCCCAAAGGAAAGAAATGACTGAACCTTTAGGTTTATTTTACATACTACGCCCCTCAGCATGAGTCAAATCACATCTTTGCTCAGGAGGAGAATTAAATTAAAATTCAGTACATATGAGTTGAACAGTCTCTAAAGCAGGAAGCTTTTGGAAGTAAAAAGCTTAAGTTCAAACATTTGTTCACTTTCTTTTAAAACACTGTAGTATACAACTGCTCCATCAAGTAAAAAGTAAATTTGATGCTACATCAGAACAGTAAAGTACCTGCCAAAGTGTTCTGAATCCATGCACACAACTTTGCAGTGCAAGAATATAATGGTTTAATAAAAAGCTGTGCATTTTTTCACGATGAAAAGCACGACAGGATGTTTCAGCTTCACTATGCATTTAATTTCCCTTTCAGGAGAATAATACTTATACTGAAACAGATTTAGTTTACAAAACCTGCATGCTAAGCCTACCCTTTCACGGTAAGGAAAAATTAGCTATTACTGTTATTCAAATCAAACACAGTAGTATGCACCACTTATGTCATGAGCGGATTTAGTGTAGTGTTTCCGCAGAAAATGATTTGCAATCCTGACACATAAGCTACACCTTAAGAGGTTAAATGGATGCAGTTCTGACTGTACTGCACACACAGACCTGCTCGAGGCTGTGCTCCTGAACGGCTCCTTTCCACAGGGGAGAACTGGATAATGAATGTGGGATATGCATAAAGCCAAGTTCACTTAAAAGCCTAGCACGTTCATGAAGTTTGATTTGAAAGAGGTAGACATGCCTTGAAGTGCACCAATTAAGTATGAAAGATCATTTAAGCCAGCCTTAAGTCAAAGGGTCCTTCAACTGAATCCAGCAATGAATCAGAATAGATCAGGTTCTCTAAAACTCAAGTTAAATGCTTCTGCGTGGAACTTCACACTACTTTAAATTGGCTTAGCACACAAAAAAACCCAGAAGTTGAAGTTAAAGCAGTATCTCGACCTGTTCTCTTTCAAACTTCTGTACCCAGAAGGCCAGCAGAGACTCTGAATTCCCAGATTCTAGTAGATGTCTCAGTTTCTATACATTATCTCATGAAGACACCTACTCAGGTGTCTTCAGGGACTATAAATATACCATAGTCAAAAGTCTTGCCCAGGGAAATGCTGACTATCAAATTATGGTTTCCTGAACGGTGACATCTACTAATGCCTATGAAGAGCTTTGGGACAAAGTCAGCCTGTGCCCAGCTGTCTGGAGATAAAGGCAGTCACTTCCAGCCAGGAGGAATGCTAGCAATGCCGTTTCACACCAGCAGTTTTAGGGAAGAGACCTTGTTTTGAGAAGGCACATTCCTACCTATCTCTTAGTCCAAACAAGGTTTAATCCAAGTTGAAAGCTGGTTTTGCACAAGTAAAAACCTGATCTTAACGCTTTTTGAACACTGTTTGCACAGTTGGTCCTGGCTGTCATGTAGGTTTTAGTTTATCTGGATAACATCCTTAGCATCCTACAGAGACTAAACTCTAACACAACTTGTTTCCTAATGTTAACATCTTCATTTACAGAGGATTAAATTCGATGTTCTTAACGGAGATCCAAAGGAGGCAGACTTGACTGCTGTGACCTCACCCCAAGGAACAAATGGTCTGCTCAGCAGCCAACACCCATATGAAACATTTTAGATTTGCGACTGTTGTCCAGTAATGCACTGACCAAAGTGATTCACTGAAAAGGAGCTCTGTTTTGTATAAAAACTGGACCATATACGTGACAGGCACTTTTTGCTAGAAATATGCCCTCACCATTACACATTTAGTAAGAATGCAGCCCACCGCACCCTCCTCTCCAACACAAAGGGATCTATTATTTCAATCTGCTGCCACCACGCTTGCCACAATGCCTGTATCTGCATTCCACGGTGAATCCCATAGAAACCATTAATACCCTTCAGCCAAGCGAGCAGATGGCCCCCTTTCACTTTTATTGGATCGGAAAGCGATTCCACGCCGGAGCGCTTTTTGTAAACCAGGCTAGACTTGGATAAAGCAAGACAATAGTTCCCCCCGCCCCTCCCTTCAGACCGCAGCATCCCCCTAAAGAAAACAAGGGGGCTGGCGTGAGAACTGATGGAATTCCTTTGTGCGAGGAAAGCAAACGCCTGCAGCCACGTCCTCCCGCCCCAGGCTCTCCTCCCCTCCAGCTCCCTCCCGCCGGACCCCGCAAACCTGTCTGAAGGACTGCAGGGTGTTCTCGGCCTCCTCCCGCTGCAGCATCTCCTCTTGCAACCTGGAAGGGGCGAGACAGCCTTGAGGAGGGAGCCGGAGGTCCCCCCAAACCGGCCCCC